TGGGGAAAAAAGAAGAATGCTTGTCACAATTTTTGTTGTTGTTGTTCTTTTTTGGCTTGGAACTTGGCTATGTCAAGGCTTGATTTGTGAGGGGGAGGCTAGAAGGAGGTGTTGGTGAGCTAAGTTCACATTCCTTCTGAGCGCATCTCCATCCTACTAGATCTTGAGGGACACAGATTACTTGTTGAAAGAGTTCTTGGTTTCGAAAAACTGGTGTGAACTTAAGCAATGTTGGAGTCTGGGGTGGACCGGCAACAAAAAAATGGGGTTGGAAATAATTATCTCCCAAGTGAGAATGTCTCCATTATAGGCCTGATAGGAGCTGGTTAAACTCAAACCCAGAAACTACAGGTCAGAATTATGGAGATTCTCATTCATCCAGGTCATAGGTCTCAAAGGTGCTTTTCTTCTTCAAAGGGCAACTGGACTGTTTTTTTCTTTGAGGAGAAAGAAGAAGAAAAAATTTTGCTCTTCATCCAGGAAGCTTCATCTGTTTTAATGGTGAGGGCGGGAGACAGAAGAGTAGGTATTGACAGTTGAGACTGGATGGTGGGCAGATGGAAGGATACGTTCTGATAGGATGGTGGGGGCTTGGGATGGAAGGATTGCATTTCTTTGCAGTCATCTGGTCACTTGCACTCTCTCTGAGAGCTGTTGAGGCCACTTGGAGGTTTATCTGTGCCCCCCAGAGTCTCCTGAATCAGGGTGCAATTGTTTGGGGAATCTTCTCGGAACTTTTGCAAGAACTGCATTGTAAGCTGGAGATAGGTAGTGTTCAATTCTAACATGGATGGATTCTTTTACCCCTGGCTCCATTCCGGTTGCCTGGTCTAGCTGGTGGATTTTCCCCTCTAAATATTTTGTTGCACTTCTGCGGTCATCAGGGATCTTCTGAGCATGCCGGTATCTTTGCGGATGTGAGTGTTGTTATTTGAGCTACATATAGGCCCACGAATATGCAATACAAAGTCACAGTGGGTATGCATGATTTTTCATTTGACAGAGCAATATAACCTAGTGGGATACGTACTGCTTGACTGGGCCTGCTAGAAAGCCACACTCTCATCTCATGTGGCCCAACAAATCTCTCTCCTCCACAACAGGTGCCTCCGACACCATGGAAGGCTGGAAAGTGAAAGAAAAGGTTGAGGAAATTGCAAGGCAAAACTGTGCTTTGCGGGAGTCCAAAGTAAAGAGACGCTGTTTAAGGAAATACAATGTTGGAAAAGGACGAACCATTTGTATGGCTCAGAGGTTGTTGCTGGCCATTTTTCACACTTTGGGGAACTAAGTGCCCATTTTCTCAAGTGAGCTCTAATGACAAATATGAAATTGTTTCACACACACACACACACACACACACACAAGCACATGGGGTTGGTGGTAGGAAGACTAATCCTGAAATGGTGGTGCGGTTTTGGGGAGAAAGGGCATGCTACGATTAATCTCAGTCGTATATTAATTTTACTTTTCACATGATCAACAAGATTTATGTGATCTGTTTGTCTCTCTGTCTCTCTCTCTCTATCATTTATCTTTCTGTCTTATCTGTGTATCTATGATCTGTCTATCTCTGTCTGTCTGTATATCTATCTATCTATCTATCTATCTATCCATCCATCCATCCATCCATCCATCCATCCATCCATCCATCCATCCATCCATCCATCCATGATCTGTCCCTCTATCTCTCCATTCATCCATCTCATCTGAAAGTGCTTTTTTTAAAACAATGCCTATTGTATTATTTAATCATCCTCCACAAAATATGGCATATGATGCCTTAAAAGGAATTATTATACAGAAATGGGAGAAAGCGGGCTTAAATTTGGTAAAAAAAAATTTTTTGTTGTTGTGGGTAGACCTTTATTGTGTCTTTATAGATTCACAAGTGGGTTGAATACAGAAAAACACGCAGAAGGAAAGAGACTGTACTGAGCTCTGTAATCCCAATGCGCTGATGGCAATTAGCCATTTATTTCAATAAGAGCAAACCCAACCTCTCTCTCTTGTAGGGCTTCATTCTCTGATTGTTTAATGCTTGTTTTCTTTTATTCGTTGGCTAGCTACAATGCAATTTTAAAAGAAAGGAAAAAAGGAAAATTAATGCTTTATGAACATAGAACAATATTCAAAGAGGAGGGGGAAAGAAAGAGACCGTATTTTTATGGTGTTTAATTCTATCTTGCAGTTTGGCTCAGAGAAAGTATGTATTTATTGTACCCCTATGCAAATATAAATCTCCTTCAGTCATTAATCTGGAAAAGCGCTTTGTTAGATATGAACGTATCTAAGCTCACCATAGTTATACACCAGTCCTATCCTACCAAGGACCACACCGTCTGATTCCCGACTTGACAATTTAAGTGATGCGTTTACGTATTCTAAATCTAATCTAGAATATGCCGGATCGTAACACGCACACTGCTTAAGCTTTATATGTGATGTATGGTTGTCTCGCTTGATGCTTTAAAAAAAACAGTAGTAAAACAGAGGAAGTGTTAAGAGGGAACAAAACCAATCAACCAGAGATGAAAAATGTTTTGGGGACGAGTTGGGTTTTTGTCCTATATGGTACATTTCTGAAAAGAAACACTTTTTTTTTTTAAAGAATGCTCTCATTTGAAATATATTTTTTTAAAAATGTTGCACTGAGTTCGATGCACTGAAAAGGAAATAATGTGTTGGGTATTTGAGTGCCTGGACAGCTGTCTGTGGTGTCCCGCTGTAGTTCTTAATGTATGGTTTGTGATCCTACGGCTGAAGGATCTGAAATTCCTTATACTATTTGGAGGACCCAGAATAATTGAGAGTTGGAGGGCCTAAATATAAAACTGATATGCTATAACAACAACAACAACAACAACAATAATAATAATAAAATTGTAAGGGACCTTGGAGGTCATCTAGTCCAATCCCCTGCTCAGTCAGGAAACCCTATACCATTTCAGACAAATGGCTGTCCAGTCTCTTCTTAAAAACTTCCAGTGTTGGCGCATTCACCGCTTCTGGAAGCAGGTTGTTCCACTGGTTAATTGTTCTAACAGTCAGGAAGTTTCTCCTTAGTTCTAGTCTGCTTCTCTCCTTGATTAGTTTCCATCCGTTGCTTCTCATCCTGCCTTCAGGCGCCTTGGAAAATAGCTTGACACCGTCTTCTTTGTGGCAGCCCCTGAGATATTGACACACTGCTATCATGTCACCCCTCATCCTTCTCTTCGTTAAACTAGACATACCCAATTGCAGTGGAGTCTCTTAGCAGATAACAACACTCTATGTGAATGTGGAGAGATGCAGAGCCCAGCCCATCTGCTGATATGTTGGCTACTACCAGAAAAATACCGATACTGGCTTATTTTTGGCCAATGAAAAAGTCAAGAAGGTGGTTACGTTCTGGCAGTTTAAAGTTTGATCTAGACACAGAAGAAGAAGAAGAAAAAAAAGTGAAGGCGAATATACGTACATGTCCCAGGATAATGTTGCAGGATCCAATCTGGGTCGGTCACTGGGACCAGAGGGTTCGTCTTCTGAGATTTTGGAATCATGCTGGAGCCCATTTTCAAGGAACGTCTCTCTAGCAAATTGTGTGGTAGAGAGAAGTTCCCTGAAGATGGTCTCCAGCATATCTGAAAGCTCGGAAGACTAAACCTCTGGTCCCAGTGACTGATCCAGATTGGATCCTGCCCCCCCAAAAAATGTGATCCTAAGAATAATGGATTCTACAAATTATGGGTACGGTTAAATTGGAAAGCAAAGAGCCAGGTCAATGTATGGCATGGATAACTTGTTACAAAGGAAGGTGAATATTTGTGGCTCAGGGTTGACATGAGGGGTCCTTGGTGCTCTCTGAACTTGCTTGTTTCCTTGCAGACCTTTAATCCTAACTAGGTAACCTCATCAGTGCTAGTAAGGAGTGCTGTTTGCTCTTAGTTTATATTCTGGTGTCTTGCCTGTCTGGGTGGGCGGGCTGTTTACTAAAGGCTCTTTGGCAGTTTCTTGATTGGGGTATTGCTTACTTGATTGTTGGTCTGCAGTTGACCTTGGAGCTAATCTATACTGATCTGAGTGTTGATTACTGGTGGAGAGGTGCTGGGGTCTTTTTCTCTTTTGTTCTAGTTGATTGTCTCTTTTACATAGTCTATAGATGTTGTTAATGTCCGTGTGTCTATTGATGGCTGATTTGTCAGAGGGCCAGGCTTCTACAAATTCCCTGGCATTTTTTTAGAGTTGGCCTGGTGTAGGATTGTCACATTTTCAACTTGTCAGCTTGTTACAAGCCTATGATCTCTTATCTAAAGAAGCCGGCAAAGGTGGTTCAATCAATTCTTTGGATGATTATAAAACCACTTGCTATTTCTTTCAACTTTTGGAAGCTCCATTTATTACTTTCAGATGCGTTTCATCCGCTCTGGGCTAAATGCTGGCAGATGGGCATCAATCTGATTCACTCTGCCTGCCTGAGTTTTTCATATGAGAAAACAGACAGGACTATCTGTGCTTTTTAAGNGTCTGGCCTAGGGAGAATTTTAAATAGGGACAATTTTAATCAGAATTTTAATTAACACAGCGGTAAATATTTGTTTTTAATTGGCTTTTATTGGGGACAATGTTTGTGTTGTTTTAATATGCTGTGAGCCGCCCTGAGTCCTGTAGGGAGAAGGGCGGCATATAAGTTTAATTATAAATAAATAAATAAATAAATAAATGACTTCATGAAAATATTCACATCGCTTTCTTGACAGCTATACAGAAATGGTTTGCCAGTGTGTTTGGTGGGGGGATATATTTTTAACTTCCTTCCCTAGCCTATAGCGATAGTACTTTGTAAATATTTTCTATCAAAATATTTAGCAATCCTGATCCTGCTTAGCTTCGAATAGGCTAGTGTTGTCAACTGTGTGTCTCCCATTTACTGCTAGTCCTTGACTTGCACTGCATTGTCCAGTCTTCTTTTCTTTTTCCTTCTTTCTTGCCATGTAACTAAATGCAGCTGATGCAACTAAATGCAACTAAATGCAACTAAATGCAACCAATGCAACTACACTTCTCTCTTGCAGTGCAACTAAAGAAACCCATAATAATCATGGTGTGATCTGACAGTGATAAGGGACATCTCCCTCAATTTTAGATCATGACATGACATGAACAGCACATCTGGCATGTGACCCACTGTCCTGTTTCGAGCTCTGGATAATTTGGGAAAGGCCTGCAACCCTCATGGTGGTTTGAAATCCTGAGCCACTTCAAACCCCACCCCTAGAGAAGGCAGATTGAAGCCCCCACCCCCAAGACCATAAGTCTAGGAAACTCCACTGTCAACCCAGAAATGGAGTTAAAGATCTCAACCAGGGAGGTTGCTGAGCACCAGGGAGGTTGATCCAACAGCAATAATCCCAACAGATCCTTAGAGTGAAGCTTAGTGAACAGGGTCTCACATCTGGTGATTGATGGCGCAGTGCCCTTGAAAGCTGCAGGAGACTCCTGGATGACAATGGCCAAAGTCCACCCCTCTCCTAGAGTTTCAGCTTATGCCACACCTGAAACCCAGACAGTTATATTTCTGATATAAGGGCTATCTACACTCTTCCAGACCCAGTCAGGTCATTGGTAAGAAAGGAATCACTACTACAACCTGACTTGACATTTAGAAGCAGCAGTCAAAAGCAGGGCCACTGAAGGTCTGCTGGCAAAGTCCTAGAATCGAGACCAAGGAACTGGAACATAGAACTGGTTTAAGACATTGTCACATGTGCCCTAAAAATGGCCTATTCCCTGTCTCCATTTATCTCCATGTGCCCATCACCACAATACTACTACATTTACCTACCACCATGGCAGTGAATTGGGATTAGCGTCCTGATATAGGTGGTTGCTGGGGGGGGGGGGGAAATGAGTGAAGAGAATTAGCTGGATACAGGATTTAACTGGGTATGTGTTTTTGAATCTTCATATGCTGTGCAGTCCTAAAGGTTATGTTTCTTACTGTTGTGAATGGCTTCATTTTTTTTCCTCCTACCTGTTGTTGAATATGTTTGTTTCTGTCCTGCAATGATGGAGAAAACAAAAAACGAGGTTAGTGGTCTCTCCCGTTGCATTTTTAATACAATCTTTTCTTTTTCTTCTGTCTCCTTTTATTTTTCTCTAGCTCTGCTTGGTGTTCAGCTGGACAACACCTTCGCTGTTCTGGAGATGGACTTGCTTTCTGGGACTTACCTCTTGGCAGTCTTACTGGTCTGCATCGTGTTTCAGTCGGGCGCCCAGGAGAAGAATTACACCGTGCGGGAGGAGTTACCGGAAAATGTCCTCATTGGCAATTTGCTGAAGGATCTCAATCTGACCCTTGACCCCGATGTGCCCCTTTCATCTCCCCTTCAGTTCAAGCTTGTGTACAAGACTGGCGATGTCCCCCTCGTCCGCGTGGAGGAGAATACCGGAGAAATATTCACCACGGCCAACCGCATTGATCGGGAAAAGCTTTGCTCTGGCATTTTTAGTGAGAACCGTTGTTTTTATGAGGTGGAAGTTGCAGTTCTTCCTGATGAGGTCTTCAGGCTGGTCAAGATTCGATTCCTGATCGAGGATATAAATGACAACGCTCCTCTTTTCCCCTCAACGGTCATCAATATCTCCATCCCCGAGAACACCGCGATCAATTCCCGCTATTCTGTCCCATCCGCTGTTGATCCTGACATTGGAGTGAATGGCATTCAACATTATGAACTCCTTAAGGTGAATGGTGGATCTTTGGCTGAAAAGAATGCTCAGGTTTTTTTTTTCCCCCTAAATTCAACTTTCCTGCTTTTCTTTCTTCTCTCATGCAATCTTATTTTCTTTTTTCTTTTTCTTTTACCCAAGGAAGGCAATGGAATGGCTCTCGGATAATCATCTGTTTTCTTAGCATTTCTCTTCTTCTGCTACTATCTGATGAATGTCTATAGAGATTCTCACTCATCCAGGTCATGGTCGTCCCAAAGGTGCTTTTTTTCACGAGGCAACTGGACTTTCTTTGTTTTTCCTTTGAAGACGTTTCGCTTCTCAACCAAGAAGCTTCTTCGGTTCTCCACCATCTTCAGTCAGAACTGAAGAAGCTTCTTGGATGAGAAGTGAAACGTCTTCGAGGAAAAATAAAGAAAGTCCACTTGCCTTTTGGGGGAAAAAAAAGCCCCACCTTTGGGCTATTCTTTACTGTTCTATTCGGCTGAAAGACACATTATTAAAAATGGCAGACTGGGAAAGGGCGTTACTGCTTGTGGGCTGCACCAAATGTGTGTGTGTGAACGTGACTGGGTGTGCGCTTGCTCCTTCCCATCTGAGCACCTATGCTCCATTATCAGAATTAATTCTCTGTTTTGCATTTAGCCACTTGGCATAGGCCATCTGTTCTGTGGGAGGGTTGGACTGTGGGAAGAAAGAAAGACTTGACACAGAGAAGGTGGGCAGGAGGAAAAACATAATCTCCCTTCACTGCCATGATGATAAAGTTGGAAGGGACCTTGGAGGTCATCTAGCCAACCCCCTGCTCAGGCAGGAAACCCTATACCATTTCGGGCAAATGGCTGTCCAGTTTCTTCTTAAAAACTTCCAGTGTTGACGCATTCACAGCTTCTGGAGGCAGGTTGCTCCACTGGTTAATTGTTCTAACAGTCAGAAAAATTCTCCTTAGTTCCAGGTTGCTTCTCTCCTTGATTAGTTTCCACCCCTTGCTTCTTGTCCTGCCTTCAGGCGCTTTGGAGAATAGCTTGACTCCCTCTTCTTTGGGGCAGCCCCTGAGATATTGGAACACTGCTATCATGTCCCCCCTCGTCCATCAACATGTCCTTGGAATCCCAACTGAGATGGATTACTGGATGTGGCAATTTATCCAGCCTTGCCCTCCCATAATGTAAAGAAGTAAGGAAACTGTGTCTCAAGTCCCACACAGCTAGTCTAGTTCAAAGAAACAAAGATCTGTGCAGGTTTCAGTAAGATACTTTAAATGCTAGTCTGGGGTAGAAAAGCTATGTAAGAAATTTGCCAGCCTCATTTATAAAGAGTTCATTCAGGTGGAGTCCCTTTGAAGGATGTGAAATGTTTTCTTAGCAGGTTTCTAGCCACCTGGGCTGAGTTGGCCCTTGATGGGATTAGCTGCCAATGGACCCCCCTCCTGCCTTGAATTGTTCTTGTCTTCTCACCCTTTCATTCGTTTCAGTCTCTTCCACGTTCAACCAATTTTCACGGCTTCTTCCATTTTGACTCTACTCAGGGGATGCTAAATGGTCAGCTCCTTGAGAGATGGCTTTGCTTAGATGTTTTTCTTTTCTTTTCTTTTTCTCCAGAACGTTAAACCTTTTTAAAAATTATGATTAATTGCCAGGGAGAAGCTGGATGTAGGGATGATACTTAGTGAATGTGACCAGCAGCTTTAGCTGTGAAGCATATGAAAACCAACAAGGGAACCCCATGGAATAGATATGTGGTGAAGCAAATTAACTTTCTCAGAGAAGCAAAAATGAAGCTTTCTAACTGACTGGCTCAGTCAGCATGCTTGGGTAATGCTTGGGTAGATTAACAGAAAAGGGCAAGGAAAACTTACTCCTGTACACACAAAGCAACTCTAACTATGCTTTTTTCTATAGTAGAATAGCTGGCTTAAAATGTGTTCTATATATGCTCTGGGTCATTCCTTCCTTCCTTCCTCTCTCCTTAAACTTGAACATCCTAATATATGGGAAGAAGCAGCAGCTGTTCATAGCACTGAAAACAAAGATGGCTGGTATATTTTTGCTCCAAAGTATTGAGAGAACAACTTTTGTTTTCTTTGCAAGGGTCAACAATATATTTCAGCCCTGTGCATATGTGTAGCATGGAGAAAGGAACTATCCTAACGTCTTTGTATCTTCATGCATTTCAACTAAGTGACACTTTTTTTCCAGTTATCTCAAGGCTGTCCATTCTAACTAGCTTCCATTCTCCAACATTCTGGCCATTTCTAGTTCTTGCTACTTAATCCTCAAACTGTATCTATCTGCTTCTCTACTTGGAATTGATTACAATCTCAGTAACAGTAACAGAGTTGGAAGGGAATTTGGAGGTCCTACAGGAGACCTATAATATTTCTGACAAATGGTTGTCCAGTCTCTTCTTAAAGCCCCCAGTGATGGAACACTCACAACTTCTGAAGGCAAGCTGTTCCACTGGTTGATTGTTTTCACTGTTAGGAATTTTCTCCTTAGTTCTAGGTTGCTTATCTCCTTGAGTAATTTCTATCCATTGGATGGATATTGGATATTTCTTAGGGAAGGTGGCTCTGATTCTTTATCTTCCATTCTGTTATGATACACATAAACACCCACAAACTCAGATACCTACATATTGTTTTAATTAAGAAAATAGTTTTAGTCCTTTACATGCACACATATTTTTTTTTCCTTTATGAAATGACTGGTTTAATAGGGCCATGTCGCAGAGCAAAATCTTGTTTAGTTTTGCTTTCAAATAAATTTTATTACTGGTCAATTTTTTCCTACTCTTCCTGATTCTGCAAACTTCCTTTAGAAGTAAACTGCAGGATTAACATGCCCAACTTTCTTTCTTACGAGGAGTTTGATTCCTTAAATAATTAGCCAGGCACTAGTGGAAAATGGGAATGCAATTCAGTGATTAGATGGTTGCTAAATGCTTTATGAAATATATCTTAGCTTCAGAGCCTATGATAACCAAAACAATGGTTGCACACCTGTTGCCTGTGGTCGACCATGATCTAGTTTCTTGTCGGTTAAAAATGAGGAAAGATTAATGAAAATTGCAATAAAATTGCATGGAGTTTACTCATTTGTCTTGGAGATTTACAAAAAGAGTCTTTATAAATTGTTCCAAACGTTGCATTTTTATGCCTCATAGGGTAAAAATTCAGTTGAAGAGATGGAGTGAGAAATGAAAACAGCAGGATTCTTTTTTTTTTTAAACGAACAAAAAGAAAAAAGAAAATAGCAGACTCAGTTGCCTTTTGCTAAAAGGGAAGAAGAAAGTGCTTTTATAACTCAGCTGCAACTGCTTCCAGGGAGTAAGAGGAACCATTTAATAAATGAGAAGATATTAATGAGGGTTTGAAACAGCGGAGTTATTAGATAGTTTTTTAAAAGGGAAGGGAAAAGTAAATGGAAGAGCAAAAAGGATCTGATTTTTATCCAGCAGAAGAAAATAAATGGCATATAAATAAATGGCTTTGCCAAGAAATATTTGCCAGCAAATATAGAAGGATAATGGTTTTTATTTTTGCTTTTTTTTTTTGTTTTTTTTTTAAAGTTCATTAAATTTGTTTTGGCCAAGAATACCAGTTCTGCTAAAAGTTGTATAGGGTTGACTGTACTGTTTAGCAAAGGTGTGAGAGAGTTGCTTCAGGCGGTATATCTTGAGTAAATTTGGAATAAAAATTAGGAATGCTACTCATTATGCATTCCATGCGCCCTGGATATTAACTTTAATATATATTATTAACTCCTCTTTGAATATGGGGGACGCTATTGTTTTTCTCTAGTACTGAGACCTGATTCACCAGCCCATCCAGTCCCTATCTACACTTGAACTTGATAAGCACGGATATTGGGTGATATAATCCATGATCGAAAATTCCTTAGGCAGTGTTGAAAAGTTGGTCTAATGGTGTTGCCACCAACACCTGAGATGTAAATGTGTTCCTACTTCGAGTCACATATCTGCTATCACAACTCAGTCAGGGCTTAAATGAAAAGGGTTATTCTTGAATTCAAGTCTGTCCTGCAATATGGGAGAATGTGGAACACACTTGTAAGGTTGCTAAGAAATGTCAAGAATATACCACATGTGGAATGATTTTCAGTGCTCTGGAATTGATGACTGGATTTGCTTAAGGATAATTCATTTGATTCATTGAGATCATGGACTTCTTAAAATACATTGAGCCAACTTGTTGAAGTCCTTCAATCCTTACTAGTGCATTTATTTTCCTGAGAAGACTGTTTTGGTTTTTTTTCTATCTAGGGATGTTTTCCCCTCCTTTGATTAGTTCTTTCTGTTGATATTTCTCTCTTACAAGAGGACATGTTATTTTGGATGGCATCACAGAAGGACAAAGAAACCCATCCTTAACCCTATAGGTGTCAAACTCGTGATGTCACGTCACTGCCCACAGGCCGGCATTGACACCCCTGCTATAGGCTAAGCCCTGATTGAAATGACAGGCAGATATGCGATTCAAAGTAGGGAACTTTGAAACTCACATCTTAGGATTTAATTGCATCACCATTAACTCTGTAGCCCAAGATCCACTGGGATCCACTGGTCTTTCTGTTCTCGACTAGTGAGACTGCTTGCATCAGTGAGATTGTCATAAACTGTAGCCCTCTAGCCCAGTGTTTCTCAACCTTGACAATTTTAAGGCATGTGGACTTCAACTCCCAGAATTCCACAGCCAGCAATGCTGGCTGTGGAATTCTGGGAGTTGAAGTCCACATGCCTTAAAATTGTCAAGGTTGAGAAACACTGCTTGTTAGCCCATTTAGATTCAGGCTGCAGCGGACCTGATTTAACAGTGAACTTTTCAACTCATTAACATAATCAATGGGTTGCAGTGCCGGCCAAGTCTATCCTCAGATCTCCCCAAGCATTCCAGGCAGGTTTTATTTGCTCGCTTTTAATAAACTTAAGGTGTTTGTCATTGATGGCTGTAGACCAAGTTGTCGAGATGCTACACTACTAAAACAGTAAGTGCT